AGATTCAAGAGACGCAGTGTAATTCCCCACGTATGTGATCTGGATCTGCTGTACGCACTGCCATCTATTGACGAATAGCATTTTTTCGGAATTTTTTGACTTAATACTTAATACTTAAACTTTTTTAAATTTTTTCTCAGCCAGAGGCCATCTCCCAGACGTGGTGATTCTGATATATCTTCAGTTAGCGCGATTGAGTGACAGATCAGGGCGAAAAGCGCAGGACAAAAAAACACACACACACACCAAGATTAGCCAAATTATTTAGTTATAGATAGATGAACGAGCAATATATATGTACCAAGGACTTTTGCTCCAGCTGCAACAAAATCCCTATATGACCATGAAGCCGCATATTGACAGGCGGCAAGACTCGCCACAGGGGATTGGTGTGGTGAATCTATGATCACGCATACGGGCCCTGCCAGAAATTGCGTTTATTGTTATGATCTGGCTTCCCGTTACCCGCTGGCATGGGCGTAACGAAACAAAGATACACTGATCAAACCCATAATGAGCGCTGACTATTCTTTCATTCGTCTGGTATTATATCCTGAATTTTTGTGATCATGCAAGTACACGTGTTAAAACTAAACAATAAACAAAAGTGCATGGTTAGCATTTTGTTGAGTGAGCATTTGATGAGTGAGCAATAATGCGCGAGTAGCCCATCGGCACTGATCGCATACACAACTAGAGCACTCGGAGAGCGCAGACCTCCCTCCCAAGCAGCCGAATGTCTCACTGAAGAAAATTTTTATTAATTAATTAATTAAATTAATTGATTGGATCCGGATCACCACCAAATGTAATCAATTCTAAGTTACCCATTTCTGAACCTATCCTAAAGATTTAATTAATTAATTAATTAATTAATTAATTAATTGGATCCGGATCACCACCAAAATCTAATCAATTCTAAGTTAGCCCATTTGTGACCTATCCTGAAAATTTTATGACAATCCGTCGATAACTTTTTTAGTTAGGCTGTACACAAAGAACGGTGTTACAAACCCACAAACGAACAAACACTCAAACAAACAAACACTTAAACGAACAAACACACGCCGGTGAAAAGATAACCTCTGCCAACCCTTGGCGGAGGTAATAAATTGCTGCCTATTGCTAATATTGAGTTAGCTGAGTCATAGATATAATATACAAATACAATGCGTTTGTATAATATCTGATAATATATATATGCTGAGTCAAGTCGGGCGCAATATACCATTTATGCATGTCGCAGCCATACATATATTGCGTTTAATTAAATCGGGCGTGCAACACTTCTGCTAGAAAGAGCTACAGGAAATGCGCTATACGGAAGTCAAGTGAATACATATGAACAGAAGGCTGAGTTACCGTCACTAACACGACGAACAGGGAATTCAAGCGGACTCTATAGGCACATTCGCCTGCAATCACTAGCAGTCACTGGAATGCTTAACTAAACTTAACTATATGCTTGTTCATGGCCGTTTACGGTTATTCCCCTCTACAAGAGCATATTGCGCAACTATTGGCGATAGCCTACTTTTCAGAATACTAGCTTAGTCACGGTTCCTAACGTCAGGGCATTCACCTTCGCGCCTCCTGTTCTTCCGCGTATAAAAAACGAGTAAACAAATTTAAATGACAAATTTATAGTTACTTGAATTTAAAACAACCCACACAGTCACCCACCCACCCACCTACCTACCCATCCACACACCCACCCATACTTTACCCACCCACCCACTTACCCACCCACGGGCTACACGCTCATTGCTACATAGTACATACTTTCATCATGAGTTCCTGAGATAGAAGTACATACAAGCATATACTTGCTAGCTCTCTTGACGGCATAATTCGGGTATAAGTAAACATATCGCGCGTGTAGACCTATCATTCTAGAAGTTCTTGGAGTCATCTTAGGGGGAATTCCCCTTTTTCTATATTGCGTTAGCATGATGATTTGGCATTATTTTGCAATACGCAATTCATGCTTCTCAAAACTTAAAAATTATCTTTCTAGACCTTTCTGATCCGCAGGGTATATATACTCGGTAGTAAGTGTCAGGAGCTACAGACCGAACATATATAGGCCTACACGCTCGAGAGGAATATCGACGTCACAGTGTCCGCAATCTCTCCACCAAAATGGCGAAAGTAAGTATAATATATATATATATATATATATATATATATTTATTTATTTATTTTCTACGTTCTACGTTCTACGTTCTACGTTCTACACGTTCTACGTTGGCGAGAGGGCGAGAGTCGTACGACGTCACAGACGTGTAACAGTCGGAGAGCCTGGTCGATTTCGTTCCGGCAGTACCCTGGGGGACATAGACCCTCTCAGCGTTAGTGACGGTAACTCAGCCTTCTGTTCATATGTATTCACTTGACTTCCGTATAGCGCATTTCCTGTAGCTCTTCTAGCAGAAGTGTTGCACGCCGATTTAATTAAACGCAATATAACCATTTATGATGTATATAGTGAGTTGCTGTTTCTGCTGCTGCGCGGTTGTTATTGCTCTTATTGTTATACTCCTACTGTTTCTCTTATTGGTGTTATTGTTCCTACAACTTCGATCTGTTGCCGCCTAGCGTGGCCTAGATACAATAATGTAACCCAAACCCAGGATAGCTGACCCTATCCTGGGTTTGGGTTACATTATTGTATCTAAGCGTGGCCCTGTGTCAAAAATACATACACTTAAAGGACAATTAAAGTCAACTTCTGTAACGTTTTTATACATAGAAATACATTCAACAACGTATTCAATTTCAAATCTGGCACCCAATTAGTAATAAACACAATAAAAATAACTGAATAGTAATCTAGGTCATGTGACGTCACAGCCCCATGTTGAGCGACGCCATTATGTAAACATAGTGTGTGCGGTGGTTAAATATTCGATGTTTTTTTGTTATTTCTCATGCTTATTTATCATGTCAAGACACAAACACATGTAGCCTGTAAATGTACTTATATTCATGTACATACATATTACCTGTGTAGATAATGCAATCACGGTATATGTACATGACTTGCCCAGGGGCGTGTACAGGATTTCTACCAGAGGGGAGTCTAACCGTAACCCAAACTTGCAAGCACGCGAATGGGGGGTCTGGGGCCCTCCACCAGAATTTTTTTTTAATTAGCCCCCCTTAGATGCGTTTTCTGCGCGAACAGGGGGGGGTCCAGACCCCCTGGACCCCCCCCCTGTACACGCCCCTGTTGCCGTGCGTAGATACATGTACATGTACAGATACATGATTCTGACCGAGCGTGATAAGCCCGTAGTCCGCAAATGCAGACGTTATAACTCCGCTTTGCTAATCTGAGGGTGCGGGTTTATCCCCATTACTGGGGTCTGCGTCGGCTCGGACTAGATAAGCCCGGTGATCGCATACTCGCATGACTAACCTGGTTTAGCGTCGAACTGGTCTACAATAACCCTGTTCTTCTCATTCTCATGGCAGCATATACATTCAGGTGCCGTACTCATTAATTCACAAACACCACGAGAACACCAGTATTTGTCTACAGTCCTATCGGGTACGGCCGCCGAAGCTTCCATTCCGCCATGTTGTGACTGTTCTAATTCTTGCGAAGTTTGTGCCGACTCTTTGCGTTACTTTTTCAGACTATTCTCTTCAATTTCTTCTTGTGTATATTCAGGCTCAAACCTATATCCAACTGGTAAATCACTATAAATATCATCATCATCTGAGTAATCACTAGAATCATTGAAATTATCGCCGTCTGTTTCCATACACTGAACTGTTACACAACACTCAACTTGCGTTAGCGTGGCGTCGCTCAACATGGGGCTGTGACGTCACATGAACTAACTCGCCTGGCGCACATTGCCGAACATTTTCCCGAACAAATGTTCGTTCAAACAAATGTTTTTGTCTGGCAATGTGCGGGTGGGCAATTGCTGAGCGCACATTGCCGAACATTTTGCAGCGAACAATCTCGTTGCGCCGTCTAGTAGCTGTGCAAACTGCATGCAGCGTCCCCTTCCCACACTCAGGATATATGAGAATTATAAATATCACGCTCAGTAGAATTGAGCCAGAGCGAGAGCGCCATCTGTCGTGGAGTTTGGTAGCTGTGTTGTAAAGAGTCACGTGATCGGCGCATGATTGGGCACAACAATCATGTGACCACATATCGTACTGCTATTGGTTACTACTTTACAAATGTTCCTAGAATTGTTCGGCATTCAGCGCACATTGACGAACATTCGAGATATCAAACATTTCCGATCTTCAGAAACATTGTTCGGAACAAATGTTTGGCGACTTTGCTGACCGTTTCCCACCGCACATTGCCGAACATTTCATGGAACATTGCTACGATAATGTTTTTGAGCAAAATGTTCGGCAATGTGTGCCGGGCTACTATTTATGTGTTTACTATTACTATTTATGTGTTTATTACTAATTGGACGCCAGATTTGAAATGGAATACGTTATTGAATGTATTTCTATGTATAAAAAAGTTACAGAAGTTATGAAATTTGACTTAATTCAATTGTCCTTTAAACACAGACGCTACCACAACTATCAATTTCACAGCGACATGCGTGCGTGTGTGTACAGGTACGCGTGCGTGCATGCATGTATACGTATACGTGCGTGCGTGCGTGTGTGCTGTGCCTGTGTGCACGTACACGTGCGCGTCGTGCGTGCGTGCGTGCGTGTGAACGTACACGTGCGTGCCGTGCGGGAGTGTGTGAATGCGTGACGTGTTCACGTACACCGTGCGTCGCGTGCGTTGCGTGCGTAAAAGTCGCACGTACTACCTGCCGCCTTGCTATGATGCGTATGTAAACGCTGCGAGCGTGCGCTATGCACTATTACGTGCGTGACGTGCGTGTGCACGTTACAGCCTGCGTCGCCATGCGTACGTGCGTGCGTGTGCAGGCTACACGACACGCTGCACGCTCGTTGGCGTGGTGCACTACACGTTCGCGCGCGTGCCGGTTTCGTAACGTAGCGAACGCTACACGTGCGCTGCCGTGCCCGATGACTAGTGTGGTGCGAGCGTGTTCACGTAACACGTGCGTCCGTGCGTGGTCTGCGTGTTGCCACGTTACACCTCCGTGCATGCATGCGTGCGATATGGATAAACGTGCGGACGCTGTCGCGTATGCACATATACTGTGCGCTGCGTGCGCTGTGCCACGTCACCTGCGTGCATGCGCGCGTGCGTGCGTGCGTGCGTGCGTTTGGATGTACACGTTGGCAGCGTGGCGACCTGACTATGCAAGCTACACATGCGTGCCGATGCGTGGTGCTGTTACGTACATCGTACTTAGTGTTTGCCGCCTCATCGCTGGCAGTTATAGCTTACGTCTACACGACGAAACCTTAACTCGAGTTAAGCGTCTACTACGGCGGGCCTTAACTCGAGTTAAGGCCCGTGTAGACGCTTTAACTCGATGTTAGCTTAAACCTCACGATGGCGGCAGCACTAGTACGATGTACGGTAGCACACGCACGCACGCACGCGCTACTTGCCACACGCACGCGCACACTCATGCCGCCGCACGCACGTCTACGTGCACATGCATGCACGCCACGCACGCACGTGTACCTACACACAACATGCACGTACGCACGCACGGCACACCTGCACACACGTGTACCGCACAAGAACGCACGCACGCACGCACGCACGAAGCTGTTCCTGCACACCGCGCGCACCACCGCACGCACGCACGCACGTGTACGTGCACACACACACGGACGCACGCACGCACATGTACGTGCACACGCGCATGCCCGCACGTGTAGGTACACACGCACACAATGCACGCACGTGTACGTGCACACGCACGCCATGAACCAGCTGTACGTACACACGCACGCACGCACGCACGCACCACACGCACGCTCTACGTGCACATGCACACGCGCGCACACACGCACGCACGCACGTGTACACGCAGCACGCACGTATACACGCACGCACACTCATGCACGCACGTGTACGTGCACACGCACGCATGCACGCACGTGTACGTGCACATGCACGCACGCACGCATGCACTCACGCATGCACTCACGCATGCACGCACGCATGCACTCACGCATGCACTCACGCATGCACGCACGTGCACAGACACGCACGCACGCACACACGCACGCACGCACGCATAATACATCGGTAATAATCGCTATCGGGTGTTGTCGTGTAGACGCTACATAATCGCTAACTCGAGTTAACGCTTAACTCGAGTTAGCTTAACCTCGATCGATCGACTGGCGAGGTTAAGCTAACTCGAGGTAACGCTCGAGTAGTAATTAACTCCTTATACTACAGTATAAATATTATTATTGGATTTAGGTCGCTGCATCTGTGCTGGAGTTCTCATCGATGTACAAGAGGTACATAAGGCAAGCAGAATGAAGTACGTAGAGTTGATCATCACCTGTCAAGCTTTATTAATTTATACACACACCGACGCACTACAATAACACGATAAACTATAATAAATTTTGTTTTGAGTGATTCTCTTACATTTCGTGTATTTATTGCCCACCATTGTGCCAATATATATGCATGCAATCATAAGTGCTATCCAAAACAGAAAACATATTATTAAAATACAAATTTCCTTTGATATTCTGTACCAATCTAAATTAAATGTTCGTGTAATTGTATTGTCTATCCGAGGTTAAAAGATAACACTTTAGCTACTTCATTAATTGTCCAATTAGCTTGTACGGTCAGCAGGGTATGGAATATATATGCACCCCTCTACAGTTTGTCCTTGAAGGAGAGGTCGATCCCTTTGATGTGCTGCACCAACCTGTCAATACAGCCAACGATATCCAACATGAGATATTTATTCAGAATCATTCAACTGACAATGCCCACTACGTTTCACGTTTTCATTCAATAAAGGAATGGTAATTAGTCTTCAATATTTCTATTGGTAAGATGTATATATGGCTGGAAAAGCTGTAAAAACGTTTTCCTATAGAACGCACAGGTTAGAGTTTCTAAACCGTAAGACTTAATTCTATTACAAAGCTTTTCCAAGCCATTGTACCCCAACATTTGCATGATATAAAACATTAAAGAAATTTCCATTGAGAAATTGCTGAATGCTGAGAATTGCAAAATGCAGCGAAAACCTTTATCTCACTTGATAACGGGTAGATGGTCTTTACTTTGATTTCTATTAATTTGAATTATTTTATTTATATCTAGACATTTTTTAATAGCATAATTATACCAGTTCTTGGCCCAGTTTACATCGTCGTCTGAGACAGGGCTCTCCACCTTTCCAAGCCTAGCTGCAAACTCGTCGTGGATTTTTTTGTGTGAATGGTAGTCAGCGTATTTGGCTTTCTCCATCATTTCCTACCGAGACAAAAATATTATTGCGGTAAAATGAAACATAAACGGGATGGCTATTTTTGCTGAAAAACTTTAAAATGTTACATAAGATTACCATTTATGCACATCCCCGTAAAATCGTTATTGTCAACGCAACTATCATTTCCCACACAGGTTTCATTCAGATAAAAACATGTGGTGTCCACCTATATCCATGTAAAAACAAAACGCCCTTAAACGCAAAAAATGTCCTCTTTTCAAGTTGCGTTTAATCCCCACCCCCACCTCACACACGCGAGCGCGGATGCATGCACACACCAATTAATAACATAAGTGTTGATGTCGAGAGAAACTACTTTTATTCCTAATCCTATTTTTTCTTCGGAAATTATATTTGCCATATAATTTATCGTAATGACCCCCCAATTCCTTTCGGCCACGGTTTGTTAAACTTTCCTCTGCGCACACCTCTCTTGCTGCACATTGCATTGGCCGGATATTTATAATTGAATATATATTCGGCCGGATGTATTATAACTTAATAAGATGTGATATAACAAGAGCCGCAGAGCGACTGGGCTCATCTGAGGTGCGTTGCTACGGTTATGAACGTAAAATTTCAGTCATATGCAGATACACAGTTGCGTACACATCATTTCAGCAACCTGCTGCATTCTGCATACCTCCCAAATCTCATTGGTTGATACAAATCGCGTGCCTAAAACTCCTGTTTTATGGTGCATTGTGACCCTAACCCTAACCCTATTAAAAAAAATAATATTTAATTGTAAAACTTATTTGTTATTGAATTGTTGTAAATAAATCATGTAAATATTTGCGTTAATTGGGAAAAAATAGTTGAATGGATAAAGATAGAAAAATACAGAAAACAGGTAAATCATAAAAAATCTGATGTAATTCCATCCAAGGACCTTTGACCCGTGATCCTGTGCTGTACCCGTTCGGCTATCCAGACATATTGGCTTTTTAGATTATGGATGTGCCATGAATATGAGAACACTGTGACTTCATTGAGGCAGCTCAGGAATCCATGTTTAACTCTCCTCTTGAGGGTCAAAATGTTATCAGACACTTACTCTTTGCACGTCAGTGGAAAGCACATTTCATGGTCCTTTCAATAAAGTGATAAAAATGGTAGGTCAGCGCTAAAACAAAAAAGTTTTTCACTCGGTTCGTTAGGCTATGTTCTCAGAAAATGTCTGATATCTGACCTTTCCCCATTGCTCTTTGACCTGTGACCTCCAATTTCGCACTGGTGATGGGTTTCCTGCCCATCACACTATACACCAAATATTAAGAGCATAGGTCGAGCCGTTTAGATTTGTGCTGCAATTCTGCATTTCCTCCCTATAAGGAGGGAATGTTCCCCCTTCTTTTACACCTCTTGACCTTTGACCCTTGACCCCCCGCTTTGACATCCCAACTCGTTTTCGGATTACCCCCCTACGTCCAGACTTTCAAATCCGTACGTCGAGCCGTTTAGATTTGTGCCCAACTGTTGACGGATGGCCGGACGCACGCACGTACAATCATGCGATTCTACAAGCTGCATCTGACTATGTCAGATGAGCTAATAAGGCTGAATTCTTCCGATAATGCGGCAACCGTTCATGGAGCTGGAAAAGAAGATAGGTAATTTGTACAACATTGCAAATTACCTTTTCTCAAGCGCTCTTGAAAGCATATCCTTTGTAGAGTACTAAAGCGCATGCGTGCGTAACAATATTTGCGCATTTTAGCGGACGAACTCAGCCCGGTAACACCGACTTAAGACTTGTGACAACTTGGACTGAGTCGATCTCGCGGGTTCTTTGTTTTAAAACAATTTTGGCTCAGGAAAATCAAGAAAAAAATTTTAAAAAAAGAAAACCCGCAACGTTAGTATGTGGTTTTAAATCGGAGAATGGATGCTAGGCCCTACCTTGGCACAAACTAATAATTGTTATGTAACGTTGAATTACTCTATATATCGTAACTTGGTAATGTAGATCCAACAGATATTGCTAGTCTGTGATAGCACGTAACACAGAGATTAGATACGTGTACAATATACCCACAATATCTGAAAAGAATCACCAACTTCTTACCTCCTCAGTGGCGAAATGTTCGCCAAAGACTTTGTTTAGATTGTTGAGACTATCCTTGCACGCACGATTCTCAGCGACAGCAAAGATTCCTTGAAAAAGACCCTTGTGCTGCTCATCTACCAAATCGTACTGAAAAACCCGCGCAATAAACAGTTTATAACCGTTAGTCTTGTATTAAATTATGCAAGATTTATCTTATGAACGATTGGGAGAGCTCAATCATATTTACTCAATATATTAAAATTAAAAATATTAATTATTAATAATAATATTAAAACCATATTATATTATTTCTAGGCCTATTACTATTAGTATTATACATATCAATTACTCTCAACAACCAAAGTAAATTGGTTACTCCGTTCAAGACAATATCAACCCGAACACAGGCACTTGGAGCGTTTCATTAAAATATAGGCTGTAGCTACGAGTACGGCAGCCGTATCTTAATGTCTCGAGGCTGGAGGTACGGCAGTCCATTCGCTTTCATACTTAAAATAACGAGACAAAGATGGCGGCGGGTGGAACCAGATTTCGAAATAACGCCTTGGAAAATATATTCACGATTTTAGTTTAGATGAGCTAGAACCCTAACCCTAAACCTAAACCTAACATAACCCTAACCTAATCCTAACCCTAACGCCAAAAAGGGGCTTCAACGAACGACGGCTGCCGTACCTCCAGCCACTGCGTAAAATATAATGCTAAATAAACACGAAATCTATTTACTACCAGTCTTAATGTTTCTATTATCTATACTGAGACTCTCTTTCACCTATTGCTGCCGACAATTTCCTGCAAATCCCGTCCAAATGCTCATCTGTAACAAACGCTGGCTGCCGCTGCACACTGACACATAAATATATAGTGTCTATATATTAACTAAATACGCTCAAGAGTATAGATAATAACAGGAGTAAGATAATATAGGATAATAACACATCTACTCTGTGTTATTATCTACTCTTGATACGCTGTGGTATATGCCCGGCAGCCGGGCACGGTCTTCGATTTTCTAAATGCCCGGCAGTTCCTAACCCTAACCCTTGTTTACTTGAGATAACGCTAAAAATTAAAAACTGCCGGGCATTTAGGAAACCGAAGACCATGCCGGCAGCTGTCAGATATATGCCGGCTGCCGGGCATATATATAGCCACTCTATATTTAGGTGTCAGTGTGCAGCGGCAGCCAGCTTTCGTTACAGATGAGCATTTGCAGGAAATTGTCGGCAATAATAGGTGAAAGAGAGTATAGAAACATTAAGACTTTTGTAGTAAATAGATTTCGTATTTATTTAGCATTATATTTTATTGAAACGCTCCAAGTGCTAGTGAACCCGAATGAGTGTCAGATATATATTATTGGCGTATAAAAATGCACCATCTTATACGTGATCATAGTGTATACTTACGAAAACCTTGAAGCTCTCATCCCAGCAATATGGCTCTGGAATCTCGAAACCCATGACAAACTTATATAATTGTGCGCTTTCTGAACGCGACAAGATAACTTGTGACTGAGTGGTTGGAGCACTGGAGTGAAGACTGAAGAGGTGGAAAATCGCTCCAGTTTGCCTTTTATAGGGAAGAATGTTGGGCGATCGCACTCTCGCAGAGGTACGACCAGAATTAACATTTAAAATATTTGTTTGCATTTACCTCAAATTGTGTGTGAAATTTTCGTTGTATAAGCTCTATGTTTGCTAATGCAAAAAAAATTATTTGGTAATCAATTTAAAAGTTAATCAAATCGAAATTTCCGTGACTTTAAAAATAATAAACTCTTAGCTTTACCCCTTCATTTGAATTGTTGGGCTGCATTGCTAAAAGAGTGGCGGGTCGCACGTTCTCCCTGGCCTACGTGATGTCAAGCGTGTGTGCATTTGTGTAGAGTACCTCCATAAATATTTTTATGGCGGTACTCTACATTTGTGCTTTGCAGTTTGTCTAGACCACTGTCTCTGTCTTGATCATAAAAATAATATACTACTTTATCAGGTGGTATTTCCATACATTTTTGCTATAATAACTATAAGGCATGCGGTTAAATGCCGTTAATGTGCAGGTATTCGCCTAGAAAGAAATCTGAATCTTGCAGTTGTGGTAGAACTGTGAAGCGTAGGGCCCATTATCAACGCTGTGCGCTGTGTTGCGTAAAGCCTGGCGCACACGTGAGTAATTATGCATGCGTCAAAATACTCAACGAAAATCCGCCACAAAAAGGCCAAAAAAATAGGTGTGTTTCCTATTGCATCGAAAACAAAAGTAGGGTAGGTAGGTAGGGATTTTTTTTTAATACAATTTTACAGGTGTTTGCTAATTCGACATCTTACAGGTTATAAATAGGATTCCTCGTTTGTCTGTCAGATTTCCAATTAAAACCCCTTTTTTTCTTTTTTACTTTTTTAAAGGATAGGGTCGGCCCTAATAATCCAGAGAGACCGGGTACAAGATGGCGTTGAGCAAAAGATGCGTTGTTCCCCGACCGCCGAAAGCGGTTAAGCCGCGTACTTCCGCGGGACTGGGCACACGCGACCGCGGGTTGTTGTATGTAGCATCTCGCGCTCCCCGCTATACGAATTCGCGCGCCGAAGGAAGGCAGGCGCGCGAATGCGTATAGCGGGCAGCCTAACATCGCGCAGTTTTCGGGACACGTACATCGGCTTGGCTACATCGGCTTTAGAGGGGGGGCTTTCCGATTATAGATTGACACGCGTTTGTACATCCTCGCCATCATACCGTCACCTGCCGTATTTTCGTACCTTATCTGGCGTTCTCTCACTCTCTTTCTCTCTTTCTCTCGCACTCCCCACGGTCTGTCTCTCTGTCTCTCTCTCTCTCTCTCTCTCTCTCTCTCTCTCGCTCGCTCCGCCGCCACGGGTTAATAACTAGAGAAGTGATGCGCAAAAGAGGCATTGATCCTGACCGACGAGCGCGATGTAGCGCAAGGCGCACGCACCGCGGGAACGTGCTACGGAAGTATGAGGCGCTGGGAGCTATGCATCCGTGCGCCAAATCCATAGGCCGGCGCAAGGATGCATGGCACCCAGCGAACAGCCACAATAAATTTTTGAAGACTAGTGGCGCCATCTATCGGACGGCATATGTGCGAGACGAGATGTGGGTGGGGGGGCAGTCAACCCCGACCGGCCACCGCACGGATCCATATAGCTCCCAGCGAACAGTGTCGAATTGGGTAGGGGGGGAATTGGGCCGGGGGAAACAACCCTCTGGCGGTCCCCGTTGGGGGGGGGTCTTAGGGGTGATATTTGGGGTGGCGGGCATTTCTGGGGGAGT